TCTTTTTAAAAAATATATATTTTATTGATTTTTTACAGAGAGGAATGGAGAGAGATAGTTAGAAACATCGATGAGAGAAACATTGATCAGCTGCCTCTTGCACACCCCCCACTGGGGATGTGCCGCAACCAAGGCACACACCCTTGACCGGAATCGAACCTGGGACCCTTCAGTCTGCAGGCCCACGCTCTATCCACTGAGCCAAACCGGTTTTGGCTGCTTGTTTGTTCTTTTAATGTCCCACTAAGAGCTTGTAGATTCAGTAAGCCTGAGAACTGAATGGAAGGGGCGGGGCTGCTTTCTGCTGTGACCTTGGTGTCATGCTCACCAGTGTCAGCTGGAGCAGAAAAACAGAAGCCAAGGTGGGGGGTGAGAGGTGGGGCGCTATAAAAGTAAATCTCTAATTATTCTAACAACTAAGCATTCAGATAGATGAACTTACAACAGAAAAAAACATACATACACACACACACACAAAACAAAAAAAACAAAAACCACAAAACAACAAGGGGCGCTACAAAAGTAAATCTCTAATTATTCTAACAACTAAGCATTCAGGTAGATGAACTTACAACAGAAAAAACATACATACATACACACATACAAAAAACACACACACACAAAACAACAAACTTGAAAAAAATCTATCCAAGTTGCAAATCTCAGCATAAAAGATCATCAGGATTATTTTTCTTTCCAATTAACTTTTAATGAAGGCCAGGTATTCTGCTAAAGAGTTTGGAAATACTTCAGAGTTGGTTGGTGTCAGTCATTAATTTTCTCAAAATAGTGTCACCGCTGTTTAGTAAGAATTGCCTGGTAGGCTTTCCGTTACTCAGTTGGAATGAACAGAAATATTCTTCTCAAAAGTAGAGAAAATGTCCTCCTTTTGGAGGCCAGAGAGAGGCCTCAAAACTAATGCACTGAAAAGCTCTCCTGGTTCTAGAATTACTTTTATCCCAAAAGCTGTCACTTCTTACTGAACTGAAGAGTACTTTTGGTGAATCACACTGCTTCTGGAGTAGCTGTATCTAATTACAGCTCTTAAAAGCACAGGGCCTAGAAATGGAAAGTAAAGCCCTCTGAAATTTAAAGGAACAGTGGTTTTCCCAACCCACTGATTAACCCTGAGCTGTAAGTAGGGCCTGGAATGCTAATTGTTCATAATTTCCTCCCTAATGTAAATGATCATTAAAATTACCTTAAAAAAAAAAAAAAAAGCAAAGCACTTAGTGTTCCTGATTGACGAGAGCTTTAGCTAATTCTCAGCCAAGTCAATGAGATGATAATTTCAGTCCTGCAATAGTAACGGAGAGTCCCTACCATGGAAATGGAAGGCTTTATTGCTGTCCTTAGGGAAAGAGATGAAAGTTGAATGGATCACTTTCTACAGACAGAACCTTTACCTTATAAGGTAGTTCTGCTATCGTCCCTTTGTCCATGGCCTGAAAATAAGTAAATCGTAAAATAAGTTTGCTGCACTTGAAAAAGTTACATGTGTGACAGGGACATAAAATCACTGGAGTACCTACAGTATTGGGTTTCCTACCTGATTCTAAGTACCCTAAGAGTGAGATCCCTGCCCTAGCTTGTTTGGCTCAGTGGATAGAGTGTCGGCCTGCGGACTGAAGGGTCCCAGGATTGATTCTGGTCAAGGGCACATGCCTGGGTTGTGGGCTACATCCCCAGGAGGTGGCCGGTCAATGATTCTCTCTTATTGATGTTTCTATCTCTCTCTTCCTCTCCCTTCCTCTCTAAAATCAATAAAAATATATATATATTTTTTAAAAAGAGTGAGATCCCTGTTTTCTTTCTGTATGTATTATACAGTAACTTTGATTTGCTCAAAGTTATTTTGTTAAGCCACGAATCATGGATATGTTTGTTGAGCTCTGTCATGTTAGGGAGCACAGACTAGTTTAGATTACTCTCACTACAGGCCTTTTGGTAAGAATATTCAGGAAGGTAAGGAAGACAGGAAAACATCTCAGCTGCTACACAGGCAGACTTCACGGAGATCTGGAATGACATCCAGGACGTTACAGACGTTCACTCAGTGTCTGCTGTCTCTTTTTATTCACCATTTTATGCCCAGCACCTTTGCTTGTCACATAGTAAATGCTCAAGTATTATTAATGACTGGAAGTCTGGTGCACGGAAAATTCGTGCACTGGGGGTGGGGTGGGAGTGGGGGGCTTAGCCTGGCCTGCCCCCTCTCACAGTCCAGGAGTCCTCAGGGGATGTCCTACTGACTGCTTCCTTCTCCGGGAGGCAACCGGGCTGATCAGGGGAAGGCACCATCTCCATCACCCCGCTGCCGTTGCTGCTGCTGCTGCCACTGCCAGCCGCGGCAGCTGCCTGAGCCCCGGGCCTTGTAGCGGCTGTGGCTTTGTCAGGATGTACATCTGAAAGACATCCACCCTAATTAGCATATTACCCTTTACTTAGTATAGATTGAATTTCAGACACTTAGCTCTATTTGTGTCTATCTGCTCTCTTCTATATTCCCAGCTAATGGCCTGTCAGCATCTTCCATTTACTGGAAGCCTTTGCTGCTTCGTGGCTTCTGCTTACTCTCTCTCTGTGTATCTTTTCTTATGCCTTTGCCATGTGTGCAGATTGTGTATCTCTCACTCAGACTGCCAAGGAGGGGAGTTCTGATTGGACAGACAGGTCGCTGCCCAAGATGGGGCACTGTCTAAGAGCATCATGGTTAGGCTTCCATGGGTGCCTCTGCTCAGGACGCCAGCCCTGGTTTAGTTCCCTGTGGTCACGAGGTATAAAGTATCGTCTTGCTCAGAAGAGGAACGTGGTTAAGGCAGACACTTAGAATATTATCCCCACCATAATAAATTAGAGTCTGATTGGTATTCATTCAGTCATGTTCCGGGTCAGATTCTATGGTGTGGGAGAGTACCACTGCAGGCTAGTTCCTCGTAGTCCCAGAATGTGACACAGTGCTTGGTATGGAGTAAGCAGTGGAAAAATACTGGCTGAATGAAGGCTGAAAGGAGAGGAAATGCTTTGATCTTTTGTGTATCCGGGGCCCAATGGGCAAGGTTAAAAAGTAAGGCAAACAAACTTGACCGACTCATCCTCTAAGTGAATCATTGCAGTCAATGGCAAGCCACACAAGGCTGCTAACTAGAGAAAGCTCAGATCCAGAGAAACTCCATCCTACTTCACTTTTGCATTATGTTGGAAAACAGTGAGTAATATGGAGTTTACGGTTGTTAAGTGGGTTTTGCCATTACAATGGGAGACTTGCCTCAGGGCTGTAAGTCCCAGAGTTCTTCTTTCCCCTGCAGTGGTCACCATCCTAACCGGCATTATTAAGACCCTTGAGAAGAGGAACTGTTTCTAGGATTTGTTGGGAGGGTTGCAGCATATTAGCATGCTCAGATTGAGTTGGAAATCTAACAGGGAGATTTTCCAAATTCAAAATAAAAAGTCTTTCCGATGGATAATATTCTTTGATTTCTACTTCCCTTTTCCCACCATCACATACTTAATCACTAACACCAGCACCTTGCCAACTATTTTTGATTCAGAATTAATTTGGGAATTAGAATGAAGGAGGATTTTGCTTGGTTTTATGATGAAGGTCAGGCTAAAGCTCTTTTAGCTCCTCATTTGAGTCTCGCCATTTGATTGGTAGAGTGGTACCAGGAACCTGCCACTCTGCTCTGCACATATTAGGCTCTCGGTAAACACTTAGTGACTTAAATTATCTGTGTGAATTAGTAAGGCCACTGTTGGGAGGTCATTTAACATGACTCAGTTTCATTGTTGCAGACATCACTCTGAAGCTGGGAGAGCTATCTGGACTCCAGCTGAATAGGAAAAGACAATGAGGGTCATATAGAGCAGTGGTTCTCAGCCTTCCTAGTGCCGCGACCCTTCAATACAGTTCATCATGTGATGACTCCCAACTACAAAATTATTTTTGTTGCTCCTGTTATGAATCATAATATAAATACCTGTGTTTTCCGATGGGTTGCGAGACACATGGGTTGAGAGACACACAGGTTGAGAACTGCTAGCAGGGTCACCTAAGACCATCGGAAAACAGATATTTACATTACAATTCATCACAGTAGCAAAATTACAGTTATGTAGCAACGACAATATTTTTATGGTTGGGGGTCACCACACCATGAGGAACTGTATTAAAGGGTCGAGGCATTAGGAAGGTTGAGAACCTCTGATATAGAGGACTGACACAAACTCATAACTATAGTTGGGAAATAATAGGCAGGCAGCTTTTGCTGTAATAGGAAAGTCAGGATTGGCTCTGTTGGCTCAGGGTAGGTGTTCGTCACACAGATGGGCTAGCACCCTGCTCTGCCACTTAATAATGTGACTTCAGGCAAGTTACCTACACCCTACCTGAGCCTTCGTTGCCCCGACTGTGAAACGGAGGGGACGGGAGCACCTGCTTGCTTCATGGAGGATTGTGATAGGGCTTAACTAGCTCAGGCATTGGAAGGTCTTGCCACAGCACCTAGCACAAAATCAGCCCTCCGTCACTTAGTGGGTGTGTGATTATTACCGTTATTTTCAAAAGCGTCGTTCTGGAAAATGTCATCCTTTATAGCAACAGTACCTGGTCTCAGATAATTCAATATAAAAGGAGTATGTCTTTCTTTCTAGTAACAGAAACTCAGCAGTATAATTTCTTTTAGGTAACAGTTTTACACACCAACAATTAGGAGAAGAGATACCTGTTACGTCTTTGTAATGTACAAACAGGTTGTTTCTCTAGAGCTATAGAAGAGTATCTTGATCAGTAAGTCCAAGATTTTTTCTGCTGAATCATTTCTAAAACTTACTAAGACATTTCTAAGGAGGTATTGGATACAGCTCACCGGGAAAGAACGGTCTTGTTTTGGAGGGCGTACTGGTGATGGTAACTTTTTTAGAAGTTGTACAGACATGGTCATGAAACACTCTTGTGAGGCACTGACACGCTCTCCGATTCCTCCCCTGTGGTCACGTAGGTGAGACGGGCATCGGCAAGTCCACGTTAATGGACACTTTATTCAACACCAAGTTTGAAAGTGACCCCGCTACTCACAACGAGCCAGGCGTCCGGTTAAAAGCCAGAAGTTACGAGCTCCAGGAAAGCAACGTCCGGCTGAAATTAACCATCGTGGACACCGTGGGATTTGGAGACCAGATAAATAAAGACGACAGGTATATCTTGGGATTTCGTGGGGATGTAAATGGATGAGGCAATGGCGTGACCGGTAAATTCAAATGCTGACTGTTCACTGATGATGGGAGTTGATCCAACTGTATCTACGAAAAGATGAGACATTCTCGTCCTGAGAAATTTTCTTCAGGTCAGAAACAGCCTGTGTGATTGATTCCAGCTAGTGTAAGCGGAAACGGGATGTGTTGGGAGGAATAAGATCACTTGTGGCATTTTTCCAGGAGGGCCAGGGAGCCAGGTTTGGGGGATTTCCCATCGGGAAAGTCAATCTAAAGGAATAGAAACATGTAACTGCCCCACAGGACAGTTAGCGGAAACCCCTGCCACCAGCCAGCGGTGACTCTGGGCTGGGTCCCTAGAACCGCCACCAGGTGTGTGCAGATAGCCAGATGCTTCCACCATCGCCTGCAAGAAGAACCCTTTTCCCTGTGTGACTTCTGCCTTGGGTTGCTCCTAAAAACCCTAAGTGAAGAAAACATTTTTTATGAAAGATCTGTTGGGAAAATCTTAGTGTCTGGCTGACTTTTAAATATCACATTTTATCTCAAAAGAAGTTTGAGAAAGTTAAAATAAAACTGTCTCAGGCCCAAAGATGCGTTCAGGAGGGGGGCTTCCAGGGACATTTTTGAGCAGTGACAGCATTATGGGAATAAAACACCACGTCAACCAATGATGGTATGTTTACTTAGTGCTCAGAAACTTCATTAGGTTTTTCTTGTTTGGATTTTTATTCAAAACTATGTATGTTATATACATGTGTTTTGTATAAAGGAACTTGAACTATTTCTTATCTAGAAATGTGCATTGCCTAGATCAGTGGTCGGCAAACTGTAGCTCACGAGCCACCTGTGGCTCTTTGGCCCCTTGAGTGTGGCTCTTCCACAAAATACCACGTGCGGGTGCACACGTACAGTGCGATTAAAACTTTGTGGCCCATGTGCAGAAGTTGTTTTTTGGCCTGGGCGAGTCTATTTTGAAGAAGTGGCGTTAGAACACTCAAGGGGCCAAAGAGCCGCATGTGGCTCGTGAGCTGCGGTTTGCTGACCACTGGCCTAGATAGATATGGGGGGGGGTGGGGGGGTGCGCAAAAAAGTAGGTTTACAGTTGTTTGTATGGAAAGTAATACAATAATTAATAAATAGTAATATAAGAATTAAGTCTGTTTCGTGTACTCACGACTAAAAACCTACTTTTGCCCACCCTGGATTTTAACTCTCCCTTATCTATATGAGCACCATGATAGTGACAGAGAAATACGTAATTCCTTATATAGCTGAGCTCTATTTTTATCTATAGAGCAATTTAAATGTTCTTCAATAAACATTGTCCGGTAATAACAGAAGAACGTGTTAGACGTAGTGAGAGATGTCATTTTGCTGGTCAAAATGGACTATCTGTACATTGTGTAGGAGTCGGGGACAGCTGAGCTCAGCCCCTGCAGCTGAGCAGTTGCTCTTAACTTACGGCCTCAGTGCCAAGCAACGATGGCGAGGCTATTGCCTGAAGGCTGTTGGTAATGCCAAGTGGAGTGGATGAAGAGAAAACCCTGGTGACCCGATGAAGAGCACAGGTGCATTGTGGGAGCCCAGGAGAGAGCTGGGGCTCCTGGTCACTGAGCAATCCCAGTGCACACTCAGAGCAAGGCGTGTCTCCATCTCCAACCCGCACGGTTTCTCCCTGGGGTTAAAGTCTGTGCACTCCGTTGGGAAGGCAGCAACTGGACCCTTTTAGGATCCCCTTCTGCAGGAATGAGACTGTCCTCCAGCATCCAGCTGCTGAGATGCCACGTGCTATTCCAGCTCAGCGTCCTGCTTCAGTCCTGCCCCTACGCTTGTGCCCCGCCTCTAACCAGGCACTTTGCCTTAGATGGGTGAGTATGCACTCACCTGCTCTGACCAACAAGTGGCTGGTCCTGTGCCGATCCTCATCGCTGCAGCTGGAGGCCTCTTTAAGAAATTATCTGACTCATTTGGGTCAAATAGTAGTCTCCAAGGAGATTTAGAAGAGAGGAAGTGTGATATTAACCTAACCTAGATACCAAATATTTTTTTTTCTTCTGAAATTTCTTGACAGCTGTTGCATAACATCTTTCAGTGGCATTTAGAACTCTGTGCCCCAGAAGGCAGTGTTGACACTATGGACTGTGAGCCCAAATGACTACTGTTTAAAATAGTTGTTCAGATAGGCCCTGCGTCCATCAAAAAATTGGAAGTGGGATACGCATTTTTGCAATGTTATGTAACCGTATGGTAAAGGATGTGCTGTGTCTCTGAACCCATGATTATTTTACTAGTGTGGGGATTAGGCAAGCTTTTCTGCCATTGATGCAAGACCTCAAGAATGTCCCAGTTTGTTTATATAGGCTTCGGACATGTCAGCATTCCTGCAGCATTATCTGCCTGGGACCAGGCTAGCTAGAAGGAGGCAGGAAGAGAGATCTGGTAAGGTTTCCTGTTATGTTTAATAGCAGGTTAACTCTTTGTGGATTAAGGACTTCCTTGTTTTGTTGTCTGTGCTCTTCAGTGAAGAAGGAAAGGGGTCTGGAGAAGGAGGAAACCAAATGTTGCTGTAGAGCTGGAAATCGAATAATTAGCCCTTCCTTTGGGAGATGGAGATAGACTGACAGTGGCTTATTAACTAGAATGATAAACAGCCTGAAGAGCATGAATGGTTAAAATTCACTTAGAGAGAATCCTCAAACTTATGAAGTCTTCATTAGAGTTATAAAAATGGAATTGAAGTAGACTGTTTGGTCTTTGATTTCTAATTTTTTTTTTAACATGAAAAAAAATTTAAATATATTTTATTGATTTTTTTACAGAGAGGAAGGGAGAGGGATAGAGAATTAGAAACATCAGTGAGAGAGAAACATTGATTAGCCACCTCCTGCACACCTCCTCCTACTGGTGATGTGCCTGCAACCAAGGTACATGCTCTTGACCAGTATCAAACCTGGGACATTTCAGTCCACAGGCCAATGCTCTATCCACTGAGCCAAACTGGTTAGGGCGAATTTTTTTTTTTTTTTTAAATAATGAAAATTAACTTTGGCTAACAGATAGCAAGATAATATATATATATATATATATATATATATATATATATATATATATATATATATATATATATATATATATATATATATGTGGTAGGTGCCTGGTCATTTATAAAATTGAGAGTCAGCCCTGAATGATGGCATTGGCTATTTTGCACGAATGATCAGTGGGTGGATAAGAAATTTTGTGTGGACATATAGTCCATCAGTTTCATAGTCAAACATTTGCCCTTTTATTGTGTTGTTCATGGCTGGAGGAATGTGAAAAAAATGAGTGGTGGGTAAAAGGGAATAGCCCCATGCCATAAAAGGAAATCATGTGAAAATGGAAGGGCTGGATATGATGTGCTCTCCCCGCCCCCCATTTCCTCTGGTTTACATGGCTGCCATCCAGGGACGTTAGCATCGGCCACACTGAATATAAATAGGTGTCCTTTCTATAAGAAGGGAAGCTGGCAAAAGGCAAAATAGGGAGTCAGCGTCCTTGTCTTTGTCACTGAAATGCTGGGAAGGGAAGTGGAGAGGAGAGGAGACAGGGCAGAGGATTTGTGTGAAGGGTTGTGAACAGAGGATCAAGCCACTGGAACTATTTCATCAGCATAATTAAATATTCCACACAGGACTAGTGATTTGGGTAGAGTTCTCCCGGAGTGCATTTCTTATTAGATTAGATCAGTGTTTCCCAAACTTTTGACATATGTGTACCCCTTCTATAATTTTCGTCTCGCTGGGTACCCCTCGTACTCATGAGAACAGAGAATTAGGCGCAGCTAAGCACGGTGCAGTGCATATCCCCACCAAACTCCGGTGCAACACGTACCCCCACCAAACTCTTCCCATACCCCTGGGGGTACGCGTACCACACTTTGGGAAACACTGGGTTAGATCAATACACAAAATAGATGGGCTTTTGTGTGTGGGAGGTAGGAAGGGGAAACCGAGGTTTCCGCCTTGACCAGCGGTGTGGATGGAGGTGCCATCCGCTGTGCTGAGGGATGTGGGAAAGTGTGGGCTTGGGGGCAAGATGAAGTGTTTGGTTTTAGACTCATTTCGCTAGGAGAGCACCTGGAGACATCTAGTAGGCAGTCGGATGCTCAGGTGAAGGATTGGAGCTGGAAGTGGAGATTTGTGGATCATCATCGGGTGGGTGGCAAATGAAACAGGAAAAGCTGTGACTTTCCAGGGAGACCATGCAGAGAAAAAGGAGATGGAAAGATTGGCCAGCACTCCGTAACAGGAAGCCAGAGGAGGCCTGAGATGTAAGGGAACAATAGATTTCCTCAGCTATATTGAATCTAGGGCAGAAAGCTTTCCTCACTTGAAATGGAGAGATGATGGGCCTGACTGGCATGGCTCAGTGATAGAGCATCAACTTATGAACCAGGAGGTCATGGTTCGATTCCAGTCAGGGCACATGCCCAGGTTGCAGGCTCAATCTCCAGTGGCGGGGAGGGGCGCATGCAGGAGGCAGCCAATCAATGATTCTCTCCCATCATTGATGATTCTCTTTCTCTCTCCATTTTTTTTTTTTTTTAACATGAAAAATATTTGTGAACCAGAGGATAAAGCCACTGGAAGTATTTCATCAGCATAATTAACCCTACCAGACCGCTGATGCTCCAAGAATCAAACCAGAGGCTAAAAGGGAAATTAATAGAAAGCAGAACATGCTTGGACAACTGCTGGGGAGGAGGTGCTGAGAAGCAAATCAGAAACTGGGGAACAGCTGCTGTGAGCTGCTTTTCCTCCCCTTGGGGCTGGGAGGGTGCTGGGGGAGGGTCTTGGTTCCCCCAACACATGCCTCAGTGCCAGGAGACTGGCCTTCATTGGACTGACCCCTCCCTGGCTGGGTATGAGCTCAGTGGCAGAGGGGTTGCCATGGAACCAGGTGAGGGGAAAGTTCTCTTGTGTTTTTTTCCCTTTGTCTTTGAAAAATGTCAGGCAAGCCGAAACCGGTTTGGCTCAGTGGGTAGAGCATCGGGCCTGCAGACTGAAAGGTCCCAGGTTTGATTCCGGTCAAGGGAATACACCTTGGTTGCGGGCACATCCCCAGTGGGGGTGTGTGTAAGAGGCAGATGATTGATGTTTCTCTCTCATCAATGTTTCTAACTCTCTATCTCTCTCTCCTCTTCTCTGTAAAAAAAAATCAATAAAATATATTAAAAGTAAATAAAAATGTTAGGCATGCTATTTCTTTTTTTTTTTTAATATATTTTTTTTGATTTTTTTTAGAGAGAAAGGGAGAGGGATAGAGTTAGAAACATCGATGAGAGAGAAACATCAATCTGCCGCCTCCTGCACACCTCCTTACCTGGGATGTGCTTGCAATCAAGGTACATGCCCCTGACTGGAATCGAACCTGGGGACCCCTGAGTCCGCAGGCCTATGCTCCATCCACTGAGCCAAACAGGTTAGGGTGCTATTTCTTATTTGTTGTTTCTTAGATGACAGTGAAATAGTTATATCTTACTTTATGTGCTTGTTCTTTACATATATTAGCTCACTTGTTTACCACAATAGCTTTCCATATAGATACCATTTTTGTCCTGGATTTATCTGTGAGGAAACTAAGACACAGAGAGAGTTAGTAACTTTCTCAGAGTCACACAGTTATAAGTTGTAGAGCCTGACTGTGGTCTGAGGTGGTCTAGCTTGCATCTATGCTTCTAACCACCATCCTATATAACTATCCTGGAATAAAGATGAGGATTACTATTGTTATATAATGCCTGCCTATATTTTAAAATTGAAAAACTTAGAAGACTTATCCCTTGCTCATCCTTTTCATTGGAATCTTGCTTGCCATGATTGAGAACCTTGTGCTTATTGCTGAGGCACATTCCACTTTTTTTAGCCTCTAGAGACTTGTCTGCTTAAAATGAACCAAGGATTTTGTGATAAGTTTCCAAGAAAAATGTCATTGTAAAGCTTTTTATTTGACGGTTTTGGTTTGAGTCATAAATTTGTTTGGTTTCTCTGTTTTATTTTTATTTTGTTTTTGTTTTTCACTTATGGTGTCTGATGTCAACTACATTTTAAAAGATTTGTAGTTCCCTTTCAGGGGTTTCAGTTAATTTATAGTCCTGGGGTTTAGTGTTGGAAGGCTTTTCTATTTCTTAAAGTTTAAATCATTCCTCCAGCACCATAGTAAGTTGGGGAGATTCAACCTTTTGTATTCCCAATAGGCTGGTCTCATTGCTGCTGACCAACCTCTCCTGAGCAGCTGGTCCCCTGGGACCCGGGAGAGTTCATGGCTTATCCAGTGACCTGTACACCACCTGATGTGCTTTTCATGGTGTGTTTATGGTCAGGTCATCGAACCATACATAATCACCCAGAAAAGATTTGAATTATAACTTGGTGAGCAGAGGGTTATAAAATGCATCTTCAAGTCATAACATTTAGAATTGGGAAGGACCTAGAAGATCACAGTGGTCCAGGCATTTCGGTTTATAGCTGAAATCCTGGCATGTGACAGGGCTTTCTGGGCGCCCAGAGGACGCCTAACCTCCTGAGGAGCAGGCAGGGGACCGGGCCAGGGCTCCCAATAGGAGGCCATACCCTGAAGTCACAGACCAGCTTTAGTTTGTGCACCAGAGCCAGTCTGTTGGTGCAGGCCGTCAGCACACTTTGTTGGGACAGACTTGCAGGCTCAGTTTTGCCCCAAGAGGAAAGAATGCCACCGCCTCTTAGCAGTCTCTTCAAGGGTTCCATGGCGGAGTCGACCGCAGGCTACACTTGTTTATCCTCTGTTTCAGAGAATGACTGTTCGGCAGGTCAGGGATGGGAAGGAGACTGTCCCAGGTAGAAGAGCTAGCGTGAGCCAAGGCGGGAAGGCAGAGCTTGGTGTGCGTGGCTCGGCCAGAAACAGTGAGCCGGGATGGTGTGGGACCCAAGACAGACAGAAGGCCCTGGATGCAGGGGAGGGGGCTTTAGCTCTCGGGCCAGGGGAACCGTAGACATTCCTTGAGCACTGTACCACGCTGAACTGCCGGAGGGGCCTCGACTAGAAGCGTGCTGATGGGAAGTGTGCTTTAGAGAAGGTTCTTCTGCATTCCAGCTACAAGCCCATTGTGGAGTACATCGATGCCCAGTTTGAGGCCTACTTACAGGAGGAACTGAAGATCAAACGGTCTCTCTTCAACTACCACGACACCAGGATTCATGCGTGCCTCTACTTCATCGCCCCGACTGGGCACTCCCTGAAGTCCCTGGACCTGGTCACCATGAAGAAGCTGGACAGTAAGGTACTCACTGCCCGTCTGCTCCCCGCCATGCTCCTGTCCGCTCACCTTTGTTCCAAGGCCCCACGTTATTCTCTGCTTTCAGTGTAAATGTTTTTTGTTTTGTTGTAAAAAAAACAAACAAACAAACAAAAAAAACCACGTTTTTTAGAATAGTTATGGGTTCATAGCAAAATTAAGAGGGAGGGACATAGATTTCTCACATACCCCCGCCCCTTGCCCCATGCCCAGTCCCCCCCATTACTAGCGTCCTCCTTCAGAGTGGTGCATTTGTTAAAATTGAAAGTCCATAGTTTACATTAAGGTTCCCTCTTGGTGTGCATTCTGTGGGTTTGAACAAATGTGTAATGACATGTATCCATCATTATAGTATCAGACACCGTAGTTTTATGGCCCTGAAAACCCCCATGCTCTGCCTGTTCTTCCCCAACCCCATCATTTGTGTTTTCTGGTTTATAGAACCATAGGGTTGAGCAACGTGAGAAAAATGCTTCAAAACTTCTCTGGATGTTAGGAGAAAACAAAAAAACAAAGCCATGTAGCTTTGTTACAAAGTATTTTTAGGTGTTTTTCTTATTTTTTAAATAGTTTATTGATTGATTGATTGGTTGATTTGATTTGGTTTTTTAGAGAGAGAGAGAAAGAAAGAGAAATATCAACGAGAGAGAAACATCCATCTATTGACTGCCTCCTGCAAGCCCCCTACTGGGCTTTGAGCCTGCAACGTGGGCATGTGTCCTGAACAGGAGTCGAACCGGCAACCTCCCGGTACACAGGACAACAGCCAACCACATGAGCCACACTGGCCAGGGCTATTTTTCCTTCCTAAATTAGCGTCAGTGTCTGGTCTGGTGAGTTGGGAGATTACTTAGTGGAGACAGGGAAATGGTCACAAGAGGGGTTACATTTAGCGAGATTGAAGCATAAACTTACCATTTCTTGGTTTCCTTAAAAACTTACGCTAAGTCTCTTAAAAGGTGCGGCTTTAATGTGAAGTTTAGAATGAAGAAAAAAAAAGTTAATGTTTCATCTATGTGATAACAGTCCGTCTTAGATTTTGAGGCTGACTGCACCCATGAGTTGAAAACAAATAAAGTCCTGGTTTCAGTTTGACCCCTGAGCTTTCCACGTTGATAACCTCTCTTTTCCACAGCATTTGAAGGAAGGAGCTGATCTGCGTTTCAGTTCATTTAATTTCCCATTTTGAGGTAAATGGAAGATAGTCGATTTCTGAAATAAATCAGCAGCAGATGGGAACAACCACAAAAACGAAGCTATGGTATTTTCTCCTAAATTCTCACTTCCTCTTGAGTTCCATACAAAGTCTTGTCATCCTTAGGCGGTTTTGTTGGGTGTTACTTTATTTTATCTTTGTCCAGACAACTCTGTGTGAAGATGCTTTCTCTCCAGGGGGACATAGCAGAGAGAGTGCTGGAAGCACAGCCTGTCCCCGGTGCTCCGGGTAGATGCCCGCAGGGGGCCTGCAGTGGCCGGATGCAGGGCCAACGCCTCAGGCGCCCAGGAGAACACCCCAGCAGCCTGGAAGGGTGACTGCAGCTGGAGTGCTGCTGGAGGGTAAACAGAAACCCTTCCTCACATCTGCACCGAGGTGGGGGACCCGCCCAGATAGGCTGTTCCCTGCCGTCCAGCCTGGAAAGCGGGTGGGAAAGAGCCGAGAGGCAGGTGGCTTCCTCACCGAGGCTGTGGATAGACCAGGCAGGGCTAATGCTCATATCCAAGAGGATAATGTTGAGTGGAGTTGATTTTAATTTTTTTAAATATATTTTATTGATTTTTTACAGAGAGGAAGAGAGAGGGATAGTTAGAAACATCGATGAGAGAGAAACATCGATCAGTTGCCTGTTGCACACTCCCTACTGGGGATGTGCCCGCAACCGAGGTACATGCCCTTGACCGGAATCGAACCTGGGACCCTTCAGTCCGAAGGCCAACACTCTATCCACTGAGCCAATCCAGCTTCGGCAGTAGAGTTGATTTTAAAAGGAAAAGAAAAGGTGGAAAAACAAACAGGTGACAAAGGAAAAGTCACCACAAAGCAGGTTAAACTGCTTTCAGAGAACTGGAGTAGTTAGTACTAAGGGGCATCTGAACAAAACAGAACAACAAAACAAAACAGATTGTCAGTGGTTTGTTTATACAAGTCAAGTGGAGAGCTAAGGTCAAACTGAAACTAGGTATGGTAGTTTCTGCAAAGATTTGCAAGGGACTGATCTACCTTTCAGTTCATTAAATTTTTCATTTTGAGGTAAATGGAAGGTAATAGATTTCTGAAATAAATCGGCAGCAAATGAGGACAACCACAGAACAAAGCTGTGGCATTTTCTCTTATATCCAAACCTCCTTTTGAGTTCAATACAAAGTCTTACCAAACTCCAACTAAGACTAGGATAATTTCAGAAAAGGTTTGCAAGTCCCTGAGGATGAGGACAAAGACACCTGAAGTCTCAATTGCCTGGTTTGTCTGTCTACTCTGACCCTATTGGCCCAACACCAGTGGCCTTGACGTTTTGTCTGCGTGGATATTAACTGAATAGTCAGTGTGTACCAGCCCGAGTGAGAGCCAGAGGTCTCTGTTCCTTAGGTCCCAATGTCCCACCATTTCTCTCTCCTTTCCCCCCCACTCCCCTCCGCCCCACCGCCCCACCGGTCAGAGATGTGTTTTTGTTTGTAGTCTGCCACTGCCACTTGCTGGGGGAAGCCCAAGCGTGATGAGATTGGGAGTTAGTCGAGGAGCAGGGTTTTCTGTCCACATGTCGTCTCATTCTGGTTTATCAAGGATTTTTTTTATTTGGCTCTTGGGATAAAAGGAGAATCAAAGGAATGCAGGCGTGACCTGGAAAGCCTCCCTAGATAGAGCCTGTCCTCTGGCCAGGACGCTTTCTCCGGAGCCCGTCCCTTTTCACCGGAGCTGGTGGAGAGCAGGGTCCCAGGTAGCGGATGGCAGCAGCAGCATCTTATTGGAGCCTCGGTACCAGCCAGGGAGCGGAGGAAAGTAAATCTTAAAGGTGAATTGTTAAGACTGTGTGCTGCGGACAGCGCTGACAGAAGCTGGGAGACGCACCTCGGGGTCCGGGGCTAGCCCTGCAGGACACTAGGCTCTCTTCGGGGCTTTCTGCCGTCACATCCCCTGGCCCAGGTCACTGATGCTGAAAGCGAGCTGGCCTCGGGCATAGGTCTCCTTCTGGCCTGGAGAACTGGTTGGTGTGATTTTGAAAAGTTTAAAAGTAGGCGAAACCATGTTTGTTTTGGTGAATACTTAGGTGCTCCCCTCAGGTTATCAGAAGGACAAAAGGATGTTTCCTGCATAGAGCTGACTGTTCCACTCTGTTCTAATGAACGAAAACTTTACACTGCCAGGAATGAACGTGCAAAACTCAGGTTCCCAAGGAGCAGGAGGGGTCTCAAAGGAGTGGCTGGTTATTCCAAGGATAGGCTTCTTTGTTATCGCCTATTCTCACAGAGTAATTTCCTTTTGCTCTGTGCTGAAGGAAATGGCAAGCAGGCTTCCAGCGCCGAGGGGGGGGAGTGAGAGTGTTCGCAGGTGGAACTAAAAAATCATCCCGTACCTTCTTAATTTCGCACCTATGTCAGAGGTTCTATTCTTTAATTGAAGTTTTAATGTTTTTACTTATCTATTTCCTATTTTTTTATTCATTTGTCTGTTTTTCTTACGTTGGAATTGTATCTGTTTTATAGGTAAACATCATCCCAATAATTGCAAAAGCTGACACCATCGCCAAGAACGAATTACACAAATTCAAGAGTAAGATCATGAGTGAACTGGTCAGCAATGGAGTCCAGATATACCAGTTCCCCACGGACGAAGAAACGGTGGCAGAGATCAACGCGACAATGAGTGTAAGTCCTCCAGGGAGAATGGAGCGACCAGTGATTTTCCAGAGGCTTTTCTTTGTATCAGCATGGTAGAGCCACTAGGACCTACACTGGGAATTAGATGTCTTCAGTGTGGCCCAGCTCTGCCACCAGTTCACTGTAGCCACTGTGCCACTCAGTTTTCCCATCTGTCTAATGGGAGCGTTAAGCAAGGTGATCGCGCATCTCCTCCCCACTCTAACAGTTACGATGTCTATAGCGGATCTTGGAGGGGTGCCGGCCCAGCACCGTTTGGCACGGAGCAGCTTGAGGGAAGTAGATCTCTGCCCGCTGGTGCCAAGGTTGGCAGAAACATGGCCACTGCCCCACTTCGCTTCTGAGATTGGTTCCTGCCTTTCTCCCTTTCTCAGAGTCAGTCTGAAATCCAACGAGTATGTGACATTCATAAAACATTCCAACTTGGATGTGCACCTAGTTACTCCTAACAAACTTAAATGTTTTTTAAGTATAAAATAAATACCCAAAAGATCATTCTTCTTCAACACTTGCACCCACATTGACAAAATTGGTTCTTTTTTTTTGAAGATTTGAGTTTGCAGCAAAGTGAAATTCCATTTCTGGATTCCTTGAGCCCCATTTCACATGCTCAGGGGCCACATAGATTAGCAGCCACTGTGTTGGACAGCTTGTGTCTAAAGCTTTCTGTGTAGTTGCAAAGACCCAGGCAGTTTCCCCATGGATCTAGCTCAGATCAAATATCCCGAATGGGTGTGGACGGGTAGGATACACACACACACACACACACACACACACACACACACACACCCTCCTGGCTTCTGCCCCTGAGCAGAGGCCTGCAGCAATGGGGAGAGTTTAGAGGCAGGTGGGAAGCCAGCCTTCGCCGGAGCTGGGGAGGATTACTGCAGCAGGTCCTTGAATAACGGCACTTTGTTCACCGTCGCTTCCTTACAATTTTGATGCTTGAAGGAAAAATTGTCTCCTGACCAGGCCCACTGTCCCTGTGGTGTTGTCACGTTCTCCCCATATCTGCGTGGGTTTCCTCTGGATACTCTGTGCTCCCCCACATCCAGAGATGTGCATGTTGGATGAACCACGTGTATCTAATTGTCCCAGTTCAAGTGTGAGTGTGGGTGTGGGTGTGGGTGTGGGTGTGGGTGTGGGTGTGAGTGCGAGGGCGCCCTGTAGTGGAAGAGCAGGTGTCCTGTCCAGGGAGGGTCCCCCCTGGTGCTCTGAGCTTCCGGGAGAGGCCCTGGCCAGCATGTTGGGAAATAGTGATCTTACTTGTTCTTATTAATCTTCCTTCACTGTATGTGTAGCTCACATGCATTTCCATGTGCAGAAGTATATGGGTCTTTATAATTTCGGTGATGTTTTTGTGACCAGCAATAAGCCATAGGAACTTAACTCTTGATGTCAATTAGACTCTAGTAAAACTCTCTTTTTATGGTCGTTTCACTTAAGGTTGCAGCTTCCAAGAGGACTCATTGTACTCTCCATCCTTGTGTTGTTGGCAGGTCCACCTGCCATTTGCCGTGGTCGGCAGCACCGAAGAGGTGAAGATCGGCAACAAGATGGCCAAGGCCAGGCAGTACCCGTGGGGCGTGGTGCAGGGTATGTGTGTGGCAGCGAAGGGATTCTTCACATTTAACCCGTGGTGACGGACCACGTTCCTCCCTCCCCACCGTGTTTGAGGGGCTCCTTAACCGTGGGCAGGTGGAGGGGAGTGGCAGGGTTGTACACCTGCAGTCGTGGAGGTGAGAAAGAAACAGGGACCAGGTAGGACGATGGTCACAGGGGAGAGAAGTGGCTGCAAAGCCCTACTGCCAATGAGGCAGCCCCTAAAAAATGGCGTGTGGGAAATTCAGTATAAATTCCTGATAGGAGAGTTCTTCCCTAGGAGTCTGAACCATTGTCATCAGTAAAGTATAAGAAAGCTGCAAAGAGTTTCTTGCAAACCAGAGAATACTTATCTCTTCCTACTTGTTCATCTCTGGGAACATTGTCCTCCAATTAAATGTTATTTCAGGCTCAGCCGCCATGGCTCAGTGGTTGAGCGTCGACCTAAGAACCTGGAGGTCATGGTTCGAGTCCCTGTCAGAGCACATCCCTCGGTTGTAGGCTTGTAGGCTCGATCCCCCATGTGGGGCATGGAGGAGACAGCTGATCAATGATTCTCTCTCATCGATGTTTCTGTCTCTCTTTTCCTCTCTCTTCCTCTCTGAAATCAATAAAATTTATTTTGAAAAATAATAAATGTTATCTCAGTAAATATCTGAGAATTAAGAGGATGTCTGGCCTATATTTGGCGCTGGGAACCATGACCACAGTCTCTAACCTGAAGAAGCTTCCCAGACGCCACCTTGATGGGCAAGGACTGTGTCACCTGCCCTTGCCGAGTGTTCTGACCGGGTGTCCAACGCTGTAGATTAGCACGATGGCTCCAGAAAGGTCTTCATTGGTTTGAGATCTGTGCATCCTCCTTTTCCTTTGTTCAGAATAAAGGCAGTAGTCTGTGAGAAGAAACAGTGCCTTTGAGATCCTAGGAAAATTGTAATTTTTATGAATCTTACCAATTACTCTACCACGAGAAAATTTTCTTCATAGTGTTATTGATAAATTAAAGGAGATGGTATATAAAAAAAATCCTTGTCTAGCTCCAGACAGCAGGAAGAAATAGGCCAGTCTTTTTCTTTTATTATATGTTAGAGGCCCGGTGCACAAATTCATGCACAGGTGGGGGTCCCTCTGCCTGGCAGGCGATCCAGGGCTGTATCACCTTGTCCCATTCAGGGCCCGCTGGTGTGGGGGAGGGACCATCCGAGGTTGGCCAGCCGTGGGAGGCTGGCTGTGGGAGCTCACTAACTACCAGGGGGCACCTCCTGCATTGAGTGACTGCCCCCTGGCGGTCAGTGTGGGTCATAGCAACCATTCGGTCATGTAGGCTTTTCTATATATAGATTTTTATTGATTTCAGAGACGAAGGGAAAGAAAGAAATATCAGTGATGGCCGAAACTGGTTTGGCTCAGTGGATAGAGCGTCGGCCTGCGGACTGGAATGTCCCAGGTTCATTCCAGTTAAGGGCATGTGCCTTGGTTGTGGGCACATCCCCAGTAGGAAGTGTGCAGGAGGCAACTGATCAATGCTTCTCTCTCATCGATGTTTCTAGTTCTCTATTCCTCTCCCTTCCTCTCTGTAAAAAATCAATAAAATATTTTTTTTAAAGAAAAAGAAAAAGAAATATCAGTGATATAGAGCATCATTGATCTGTTGTCTCCTGCACACCCTCTGCTGGGGATCTAGCTGGCAACCCAGGCATGTGCCCTGACTGGCAATCGAACCATGACCTTTTGATTCATATGTGGATGCTCGACCACTGAGCCACACCTGCTGGGGTAGGCCTGTCTCTGACACCAGATGTCATGATGTTTGAATGTAGACTCTGCTTCCTCTGTGTGAGCTAATCCATGCTTCCTGTGTCTGCAAAGCAGGAGTCATTAGGAAGAGTAAAGACAGTATTTGTCTGTCTCCTCCCACAACGCCCGGCTCTGGGCAGGCACTTGGCAGTCACTCCTGTCGCCAATATTCTGGTCAAAGTCAGAAACGTGGTCTTCGTTGGGAAGGGAGGTGGATCCAGTAGAGGTGGCTTTGAGCGATTTCAGGAGCGGTGGTGACAATATCTTGGAACCGTCCCCTTTGATTTTCGGTGACTGACAGCAGCCCCGCCCTCCGCCCCCCTTCCCCCATCTCTTGCAGTGGAGAATGAAAACCACTGTGATTTTGTGAAGCTGCGGGAGATGCTGATCCGCGTGAACATGGAAGACTTGCGGGAACAGACTCACACACGCCACTACGAGCTGTACCGGCGCTGTAAGCTCGAGGAGATGGGGTTCAAGGACACGGACCCCGACAGCAAGCCCTTCAGGTATGCGGCCCCGGGCAGTCTGAGGTTCCAGGACAGTGGGGAAGACGGGGTGTTGTGAGTCGCGGGAGTGCTTGTGAGAGTGAACTGTCGGAGGAAAGCACCTGGTGGGGCAGGTAATCTCCTGTTGCCAGGCGCGGTGACAACCACTTTATCGGGATTGTCTTCCAGAGGTGTGGTTGATGTCATTGTCATCATCCTCGCTTTACGGAGGAGGAAGCTAAGGCGCTGGAGTGTAAACCACCAGTCCGAGGTCCTACAAGTAGGAAGTGACGGGGCGGGGGGAGTTTTTTTTGTTTTTTGTTTTCTAATATATTCTTTTGAGGTTTTACAGAGAGGAAGAAAGGGGAATAGAGAGCTAGAAACATTGATGAGAGAGAATCATGGATCAGCTGCCTCTTGCACACCCCCTACTGGGGATGTGCCCGCAACCAAGGTACATGCCCTTGACAAATCGAACCTGGGACTCCTCAGTCCGCAGGCCGACGCTCTATCCACTGAGCCTCTTGTTTTGGCAAGAGGGGAAGTTTTGAACTCATGCTCTTCATCATTACTCACAGAGGCACAGAGCTTGGCCCAGGCATTTACAAAGGTGCCGCTGCGCCTTACGTCTGCCTCATTTATTTGTGCCAGATCGGTGTGACTTCCCAAGGCTTGCTCTTTCAGAAGTGCTCCACTAGCTTCCGGCGGTTTGATGCAGTTCTGACAACAAATGAGTAGGAAAGGGGATAACTGATAGAAAATGGCTTACAGCCTACAAATTTGATGGATGGAGATGAAGAGGCAACATGTGAAGGGGGAAATATGGAAATTAATGCGTAATTAGTGGCTTAGCAAAGGCCCATGCCTTGTCAGAGCCACATGGAGAGGGGCCTCCCGGGGAGGGTGCCGGGCCTGGTGAAGGGAGGGAGGGGGCCTGCCACGCCAAGCTCGCAAGAAAGGATTGCTTTGTCCACACTGAGCCCTCACAATTTCTTCATGTGGATGTGCCGTGTATCTGGGCTCGGTGTCTTTACTGACGGGAGAGGGGGTGTGGCAAAGGTCCTCAGAAAAGACTGTCTTCCTCCTCCTCTGTGGCGACCGTAACTCAGACTGTAACTCAGACTCTGATACCTGGGAGCTGGCTGGCCACAGTGCCTGCGGCAGCCTGTGTGCGGGCGGCAGACTCCATGCCCCCAGATCTGAGCTGCCCTAGGGTGGTGGGTTTTGTGTTTTTTTTTGCTATAGAGGCAGTTTGGAAACTAGGGAGACGTAGCAATAGCACCTTATAAAATGCCAGCAAATGCTTCTCTGTTTGTACGGGTGTGAGTGTGGGATTTCTTAAGCTGTGTTACCGAAGGTAATATTTCCGTAAATATGTTTGTTCTGACTTAGAGATCAAGCTGAGGCATGGCATTCGATTTATAAACTATTGGGCTCCACGTTCTGGGGGAGACAGTCAGGGGGAGGATGGGGTTTAAAATAAAAATAGGACTCCTCCCTGCTCTATTGTGATTGGTAATTCAACTTTAAAAGTAATAATTCTGTGAAATGTCTTTAGGTGTCCTAGTGGCTCTTGAGATGGTTCGCTGAGTCTGTTTTCTAAACTGGGGACGGGAGGGAAATGAGGGGGGAGGGTAATATTCGTTAAGCACTGAGTGCTTTACTCACTTTGCCCCCATTCATTCCCAGAATCCTATCCCCGGAAGGTAAGTCCTGCTTCCTCCACCCACATCTTCTATACTGAGGCTCAGAGGCTGTGCCCTTCCCTAGAATTGCCAGTCCCACGCTATGGCCAGAATCCAAGCCTTGATCTGTCTGGCCCTAGTCCCCATGCATTTCTCTCCCTACACACACCATCTCTCTCTCCGAAAAGTCTTTTTTTTATTTTTTATTTATAGCTTTTTTTTTTGTTTATTTATTTATTTATTTTTTTAAATCAATCTTTATTGTTCAAATTATTACAAAGGTTCCTCATTTCTTCCCCCCTCCACCAGGTTCCCACCCCACCCTCCGCCCCCTCCCCATCCCCCATTGTCCTCATCCATAGGTGCAGTTTATGTTCAGTCTCTTCCTCCCTCCCTTTCCCCGATAGTAAATCCCTTTTCAGATAGTAAATCAGTTACTTAGCATTTTCTCATATCAATAATACCTCCACATGCCCAATGATACATTTCACACAAAAGACATTTCCAAATAGGTCAACCAGCCTCATCCAGGCCCCACCCAAGGCACTCACAGATCAACACCCCAGCCTTATACTAACTCAACACATCCAGATCTAAGCCTTCATCACTTGATTCAGCAGACCCTCAAGTTCCCACAAAAGTTTCCAGCCATGTCTGAGAGGCAGCCGTGGGGCAGGGGCAGGCAAGGAGCGAGCTGTACCGGGCCTGGCTGCTCTGGGCCTGGCCTCTGTTGCTCTGGTTCATTCCACAACCAGCTGCTCCGGGTCTGGTCACTGCTGCTCCCGACCTAGTTGCTCTGGACTTGGCTGCTGCTGCTCCGGGCCTGGCCGCACCCGACCTGGCTGCTCTGGGCTTGGCTGCTCCGGGCCCAGCCGCTCCGGGCCTGGCCGCTCCCAGCCTGGCAGCCGCTGCTCCGGGCCTGGCCGCACAAGACCTGGCTGCTCCGGGCCTGGCCGCTCCCAGCCTGGCAGCTGCTGCTCCGGGCCTGACCGCACCCGACCCAGCTGCTCTGGGCCCGGCTGCCCCGGGCCCGGCCGCTCCGAGTCTGGCCGCTCCCAGCCTGGATGCTCTGGGCTTGGCTACTGCTGTTCTGGGCCTGGCTGCTCCCAACCCAGCTGCTCTGGGCCCGGCCACTCCGGGTCTGGGTGTTCCTGGACTGGCCACCCTGGGCTTGGCTGCCTCCGCCTCAGGCCTGGCTGCCACTGCCCCAGGTCTGGCTGCTCCAGTGCTGGCTGTTGTTGCTCTGGTTCTGGCTGCTGCTGCTCTGGGGCCTGGCCGTTGCTGCTCCGGGCCCGGTTGCCACTTCCTTGTGTCTGGGCACTCTAGGCCTGGCTGCCGCTGTTCCAACATTCTGTCCTTTTTTTTTTTTTTTTTTTAACGCATATATGTTGCAATGTTGGCTGGTGAGTTGAGTTCTGACTTAGTCTTTCATTTTCAAGTTCTTCTTTGTATTCTTTCTTAAGTAATTTTACTATCTTTTGCTCTCACTTGATTTCTTCACATTGAGAACTTCTTTGGTTTCTTCCTCCTTGTCCTGGGAGCTCAGCAGGTTGGCCTGTGGGACCCCTTTGTTCTCCGCGGGCTCCTGCACTGCTCCAGCCTGTTGCCGGGGTCGGCGCCGCCCAGGAAGCAGCCCCCGGCCTTGGCTCCGTAGCCCGTGCTCAGGGGCTCAGGGGCACCCCCCCGGGAGGCCCCGTTGCCCAGCTCCCTGCCGGCGCCCGGCTGGCCGGTTTCCAGCAGGGGCTCCTGCTCCCTGTCGCATTCCTCCAGTCTGGAGCTTTTTTTTCTCTTTCCTGCTAGGGGAGTCTAGGATCAGAGTCAACCAGTGCGCACGACTCTGGGGGCTCCGCTTTTCGCCACTCCCCTGGGATTCCTACTCACAGCCCCGTTTCCCCCTGCTCGAGCCTGGGTCCCCAGGGTCTGGTCCAGGACTGGGGTTCAGAGCAGTCAAAACTGGGGCCCAACACAGCCGGGGCTCCCGTTTCCTTCCCTCCAGGGCAATCCCGCATCAGAGTCAACATTCCTTCCCTTGCAAGCAATGTGCGCGACTCCGACTCCGGGGGCTCGGCCTTTTGCCGCTCTCCCAGGACTCCACCTCACAGCCCCGTCTCCCTCTGCTTGAGCTTGAGTCCCCAGGGATTGGCACAGAACTGGGGTTCAGAGCAGTCCGGACTGAGGCTCAGCGCCGCCAGAGGCTTTGTTTCTTTCGGCTAGGATACTCCAGCATCAGAGTCAACATTCAGTCCTCTGCGCACAATGTGCGCGCGACTCCGGGGGCCCTGCTTTTCACTGCTCGCCTGGGGTTCCGCCTCACAGCCCCATCTCCCCTTGCCGGAGCCTGGGTCCCCAGGGTCTGGCTCATAACTGGGGCTCAGCGCTGCCGGTTCTGGGGTTCAGCCCAGGCTGGGGGTTTTATTTCCTTCCTGCTAGGGAACGCCAGGCAGCACCCAGCCCTCTCCTCCTCTCCGGCTGCGACCTCTCCGCGCGTGCGTGCTTGCGAGCGCGCAGCATGTCTCCGTACCTTAGGCTTTTTTTCAGCTCCTCTGATTTTCCTTCTGGTTTTCTCTTTCCTTCTTGTTGTAGAATTTTCAGTCAGTCGACTACCTGTGGCTCTGGGTGATGTCCACTCTACATTTTAGTTGTATTCCATTGAAATTGTTGTGTGCTGCTGCGGTTAGATGTCTACCCGAGCAGCCATCTTGGATTCTCCTCTCTCCGAAAAGTCTTAATCATGTCTTCGGGATCTACCTGGTGTGCTGATCTGGAAGATACCAGCCAGCCCAGCCCAGGCTTTCTGTATATGAACATGTGGGGTAAAACTTGGCCAGTGGGAGACAGCCTGCTAGTGCTGCCCTGTGCTACCACTGGGTACTTCCTATGGGCTCATCCTTGTTCTTGATGCACTTGTCTTTCTGATCACTGCTAGAGAGAAGATGTGCCCCTTTCCATGTCTTTGACATGGTCAGTGGCAGCCTTTTCTAATTTTTGGAAGACGGTGGGTAGAAACTCTATGAACTAAAGTTTCTTATGCAATTTTATGACATTGTCCCTGTTTGTGTCTTTTGAATAGTCTTCAGGAGACATACGAAGCAAAAAGGAATGAGTTTCTGGGAGAACTTCAGAAGAAAGAAGAAGAAATGAGACAAATGTTTGTTATGAGAGTGAAGGAGAAAGAGGCTGAGCTTAAAGAGGCAGAGAAAGAGGTAAGCCATCTACCTGTCCTTTTTCAAGGGGAGAAATAAGCAAGGTGTTTTATTAATCCTTTACGTTAAATTTTATCACTTGCATGGCATACTATCTTAGCGAGAAAAGCAGGCGAGATATTCTCATCCCCATTTTACAGATGGTAAAACTGAGTTATAAAGGTTAAGCAATTTATGCAGTCATACACCTAGTTTATAGCAAAGCTGAAACTAAAACTCGATCTTAGGTCTCCAGACCTGGTCCCATTTTCTTTGTACCTCTGTATTTCCTCTGTATACACGTCTTGAAATAAGAGATTTCAGATTCTGTGGTTGTTATTATTATGTTTATTCTATCAGCCAATTCAGTTAGCTAAACAGTGGATGGCTCTTCAGCACTGATAGGTGATGGTCTCTATATACCAAGTATGTCGAACTCGAGGCATGTGGCCTACCGGCCACGAGTTTGACATGCTTGCCACTCTGCTCATGCTTCCCTTTGTAGGCGTGAGCTCTCGGCTCCAACATCCCTTTGACTTGTCTCCTTCCCCAGGACCAGGCCAATGAACTGCTTCCTAGAAGCTCCCATGGATTTCTGCAATAACACTCATCCCAGAGGGAGAGTTAGAGAGAGAGGACACTCATCCTATTGAGAGAGAGAAAGAGACAGAAATATGTTTGCCCCCATGAGTATCTCAAGTGCTTGGCTGATAGAGCAATACATTGACAAATAAAACTGTTTAATTTCCCCCTTTTAATTGATCCTGATAAAGACAACTGAAACTTAGAGCCCTAGATGGTTTGGCTCAGTGGATAGCGTGTCAGCCTGCAGTCTGGAGAGTCCCAGGTTTGATCCTAGTCAAGGGCACATGCTTGGGTTGTGGGCCCGATCCCCAGTGCTGGGAGTTAGCCAATCAATGATTCTCTCTCATCATTGATGTTTCTGCCTCTCCCTCCCTCTCTCTTTCTTTGAAATCAATAAAAATATATTTTAAAAAGAAGACAACTGAAACTTAGAGATTAAGAACTACTCTTCCCACTAGGGTGAGTTTCTTATTAGGAGCATGGATAATTTTTCTCCCTTATGCTCTTTATAATAAACATGTATTATCAGAAAACTAGAGGCCCAGTGCACAGAATGCATGCACTGGCGGGGAGGGGATCCCCTCAGCCTGGCCTGTAGTCTCTTGTAGTGCAGGGCCCCTTAGGCGATGTGCAACTCCCGGCGTAGGCCTGCTCCCATGGGGGATGGGCCTAAGCTGATAGTTAGACAACCCGCTCGTAGTTCGGACCCCTTGCTCCTTATCACCCACCGGTTCACTGCTCCTTACCGCTCAGCTCGCTGCCACGGAGGCGGGAGAGGCTCCCACCACCACTGCTGTGCTCACCAGCCATGTACCCGGCTTGTGACGGAGCGGTGCTCGCCTGTGGGAGCGCACTGACCACCAGGGGGCAGCTCCTGGGTTGAGCATCTGCCCCCTGGTGGTCAGTGCATATCATAGCGGCTGGCCGGTCATTCTGCAGTCACAGTCACTTAGGCTTTTATGACATAGAAGTGTGCAAGCGCCCCCTTTAGCTCCACAGGGTCCACGTGTCAAAGGAGAACAGGGCTCCACGGGGTGCCTTCTGCCTCCACATGGCTCTTCCCTGAGCTCCGGCGGCCGCTGCGCCCCTGTAGTTAGAGCACAGACAGCAACGTGGCGCAGGCCTTGTTCTGAGCGGGTCCGAGTCACCTCACTCCGGTCTGCTGGCTACTCCCTTCACCACGCTTGTCCCGCCCTCCCCAGCTCCACGAGAAGTTCGACCTCCTGAAGCGGACACACCAAGAAGAGAAGAAGAAGGTGGAAGACAAGAAGAAGGAGCTGGAGGAGGAGGTGAACAACTTCCAGAAGAAGAAGGCGGCTGCCCAGCTGCTGCAGACCCAGGCCCAGCAGTCTGGGGCCCAGCAGACCAAGAAAGACAAGGATAAGAAAAAGTAAGCAGGTGTCCCCCCCCGGTGCCGGGGCCCTCTAACCGTTCATTCCTCTTGCATGTCTCCACTTTCCCCATTTCCAGACTGGAAACTGGTCTGTTAACCAGGAAGATCCAAGCAAGTGTTTTCTCTACCGTGCAGGGAAGAAGACACAGGTTTTTAAAGTATTTCTGAAGGGTACACAAACATTGCTTTACGAGGCTCGGCCGCATGGCCAAGCAGTCAGGACTGGACTCACTTTTGTCTCCAGTCTCGTCTTCTGCACCAACACTAGGACTTTGGGGAAGACGGTTTATTTCTCTCACGGCCCTTCGGAGACGGTCCGCGTGACTCCCTGTAAGGAGCAGCCCAAAGTTACAACGGTTACAGCTATTTTTCTGGTCCGCATTGTTAGGCTTGATAAGCCGGTCATTGATCCCCAAAGGAAAGATTTGGAAGAACTGCTAGTGGCCACTAGTTTTCCTCTAAATTCAACAAGATGATAAGTTGTTTTACTGCAAAAATCAATCCCATCCAGTTAAGACCACCTGCAACAACCCTCAAGACACGCCTGTACCCACGCCCAGAAAAAACATTTTTAAACGTGGCTTTGGTTTAATGAGCCAAAGGGTCAGAGCTTGCTCTCGTGTTGGTCACTTCCCATGATGCTCCAGCGGCAGCTCCCGTAGCCACTGGAGCTCAGGGCCTGCCTTGTCATTCTCCGGTGATTTGAAGTTCATGTCAGATCCCTTCAAGACCAGGCAGTGCAGTTTAAGGCATTAGCTGCTGGTTTGACGGGAGGCTCGGGGTCAGTGAGAGGCCTGGAAGAGCTGTGTGCGGCTGGATGGCCACCCGGACGCTGCCCTTTGTAGCTACACACACCACAGGGCAGCACTAGGACCACTCGGAATGTGCTTAGGGTTCTTGCTCTCCACCCCGACTCCCTAACATTCTAGGGGAGAAGCTGACAAGTAAACCATAAAAGTGGTGGCACTCGAGCGGGCAAAGACCCTTTTTTTAGATGTGGAAGACAGGATTGAGTCTGCACAGGAACTGAGACCTGCCCTAGGGACTGACTGGTCACCGTGTCTTGGTGAACAGACTCCCCTTGAGGAATCGTGTCGTGGAGCCCGTGGTAGAAATTGAAACACTGCTCCCGTGGCCCACGGAGGGTGCTTTACGTTGTCCTCTGCACACTGGACAGGCTCAGAGGCAGCAGAGAGTGTGTGCGGAGCGCAAGGGGCAGGCACGTTTCTAAGCCACAGACAGGCGTCAGTGTAGGGAAGGGAGGTGTGATTTTAATGGGGTTGGTGCAGACCCAAGTGATGAGAGGATGCCAAGGGCCGAAAACTTAGTTATGCTAGATGAGTTCTGGCTAACGATGGCCTCGAACATAATCTAGCTCAGGAAGGCTCTTTGTGGCTACACATGCCCCAGGGTGTCGGCCCCTGGCGGTGACATTCCCGGGCAGAGCCAGCTCAGCAGCTGTGGTGGAGACAAACGGAAAGCCATCGAACAGCAGACCTTTGTTGATCCACTCACCCGAGACAGAGATAGGTATAGGGGTGAGTGTGTGTGTGTGTGTGTGTGTGTGTGTGTGTGTGTGTGTGTGTCTATAGGCATGAATGAAACGGGAAAAGCTGCTGACTCACAGCTTAGGAAACCCAAAGCTAAGTCTTTCTTATCCTGAAGCACTCATGTATGTAAAGGTATATATTTTAGAACTAAAAGTGTTTATAAAAGACCAGCAATGTTCTAAGGATATTTCACATTTGCTGGATGTGCCTTCAAGCAATAAAAATTCCAAGAGCTGATGGGTATCGTGCCTCCATTAAAAAAAAAAATCTATTCCGTAACAGACTTCCCAGCATAGGGAGGCTTTTCCTCGCCCTGCTCAGCATGGCAGATTATTTTCTTCCCATCCCTGGACCTGAGCGATGTCTGATGCTCCCCATGTATGTGTACATGTGTGAAGTATGTGTGAATTCTACTTTAGCCTTATTTACAGATTCCCATGTAGTATTCGTGGAATCGGGCTTCATTTGGGATGCAGGAATCACCAGGTTTTGTGCCTGACAACGGCACGTATTTTTTGGAAACAAAGGTTTCCACCCTTGTCCACACTTGGCCCTTTGAGCAGTGATGCACTGCCCGTTGGAGTTTTGACATCTAAAATTAAACAAAACAAAAACAAAAGAAGCACCACTCCCCCGACTGCCAGTGGAGAGTGCTGAGGAGGGAGGACCAGAGCAGCACTGAGGTAAATGGAGGGCTCTCTCCTCCCTTCGCTGTCACGGGAGAGGCTGCAGTCCCCTCGCAGCCCCTTGGCGCTGGCCTGGCTCCAGGGAGAGAGCCACAGGAGAGAGGCTTAGTTACCCACCTGCCCTGTTCCCACCTCAGAGCCTGACTCAGTGTTTCTAATATTTTATATATTTTTTCCTTTCTATTTTAATGACGCGCTCCCTTTCTAACTTAGGTAAGGCTTTTATCCTTCTCCTTGACCTGTAGTGGCATGAGATCATATAACATTTCCTAAGATTTACAGACAAAGTAGAACTAACCCTGGCACTGCCATTAGCTGGACCCCACCTCCCGCCATCTCTGGCCACCACGTCCCTGTCCTTGTGTGCGGCCACCCCGCAGAGGGGGGACTGCCGATGGTAAGTGGTCCAGCGGACAGGGTTCATCTTCTCTGAGACGTTTGCACAGCGGCCGGCAGCCATCGGCTGGCTATGATACATTCAAAATAAGTTTTAAAATTCATCATTTTAAAACTATACCTGGCTGGCATCAGGTAACTCTAAGTTTATACAATCATTCACTCACTTTTTATTTATTTTTTTTATTGATCCTTGCTAAGGAATGACGTTGCATGGTTTGGACTTGCCTCCAGTGAGACGTGTGGGTCTGGGACTTGGCACTGCCTTGAACCTGTAAGAGGAGAAGGCTTCTGGCATTGCTCTGGCTGTGACCACATGATGATTGTCCCTCCTCGTTTCCTTCCCCAGTGGATTAATAGCATGCCCTCCATCCACCGTATCGCAACCCCCAAGTTAATTATTCAGAGTCTTTTACAGCATATTTATTCTCTTACTCCAGGAGCTCAGAAATGGAAGAAGCGACTCCTCTTTAGTACAGAGGTGATACCCAAACCTAACACAGTAGATAATGGTTTTGTGTTATTGGACAAAATGAAAATAGAACCGTAAACCCTTTCATGAGAACATGCAGTGGTTTCCCAGAGCCACCTGTGAATTCCAAATCACGTGCAAGTGGAAACTAACCACGTGCTCTTTAATTCGGTGCCAAAACGTTGCTTTTGCTTGTCGTGTAGAAGAGCTTGTTCAGATTTTTGGTTTCGGTTTCTGTCAGTTCCATAATCATTGCATGAGCATTCACCATCACCAAACGCGGGTGCTGGCGCTCCTAATTTCCCTTTTCTTTTTTGTTGTTATTTCTAACTTTTTTTGTTTTGTTTTTTAACTTGCAGTGCAAGCTTCACATAAAGCCTGGCAAGCCAAGGATGGTCCCGCATTCACCTGCTTTTGCAGTAATATTGTATCGCTGCCATCTGTGTCCTTTTTTTTTTTTTTTTTTTTTTTACCTTCCCCCAGATACCAATAACTCTTAACTCATTTTGCTGAATGTTGTTGGGTGCTGGAAAGTGATAGAGCAAGGGAATGACAGCAAAAGCTCTGAGCAGCTGGACTGGCCTCTGGAAGTACATGAGTTGCCTTTTGTGCCTGTTCTGAGTGGCGGCAGGAAGCATGCCTGCTGCCTGTGTGTTGCTTTGGACGGAGGGAAGGAGGGTACATTGCTACACGTTCGCCTGACAGGAAAACTCACCTCCTCAGCAGCTGAACCCTAAACCTGAACATCCATGACAACTTGCTGTTCTTAATGATTCATGATGGTGAAAGCCCTGAATTCACTCTGGCTCTTCTCCACACCCACCCCAAACCCAAGATAGCTTTGCACGTAGGCAGGCCGGTGGGTAAGCTGTGTGCGACTTTTAAACTTGCATGGATCGCTCATTATTATAATAACATTATTTGGTCTGGGTTGTGGGTCTGTTCAGACTGACCATCTCTGCTTATGGCTTTAAAAATGTGTCTGAACCCCCCTGTCTCTCAAATTCTGGCCAAGTTGAACTGTAAACGGATCAAGGCTACCCTGATAAAAGTGAACACAATCATAGTCTCAAGAGCTGGATAAACAGCATTGCTTAGAAGAAGCTACTAAGGATAGTGAACTTGCCACAGCCTCCTTACTCCTCAGAATTGCTGTCTTCCACAAACACCGAAATCTGCCCCCAGTGGGTGGAGAGGAAGATCTAACGACTGATGCCAGGGATTCGGTACCTCCAATAACATTCTTCAATAATGAGAAGAAATTTCTCAGAAATCCTTCAAATAAAAAGTGTGTTGTAAATTGTGTACCATCTGCAGCACAAATCTGAGGGTGACATGTCCATGTCAGGTAGAAATGGGAAGGAACATAACACAAACCCTCAAGTCAAAGAAATTCAACTTAGCCTCCCATCTCCTTGCATAGGGTCCTTTTGCTATTTGGCAATAAAGAGAAGAAAAAGTGTTACAGCTGGTCTTTCAAATCCAGTTGTCTTGAAGGAATTTCCTCACCTTTCCCTTTGCAACTAGCTCACCTCCCTCTGTATGCCAGTCAGTGAAGGCTAGGACTAACCCCGTATGCCATGACAGAGGCTGCCCCCATTGTATGGAAATGGCATATGTAACCTCTTTTCCATTCTGTTCCTTTATAAGGCTTATCCTTTTGTCTTGATTCTCCCCCTCCCCCCCAATAACAAGATACCAAGATCCTACCAGCTTTCCCTCTAACTCTATAGTCTCCTGTTTCTTACATTAAAGAGTGCATTTCTCATGAACCCGATGCTTTATTTCCTTCTGGACTTACTAGTCCTACATAAAAAGCATAGAATACACTGCCCCTTCCCTGACACACACACACACTATTAAGTCTGATTCCAGTAAAGATTATTTTCCCCTTCTCTTGGTCCTCAACCATACTCGTAGAGGAAAGGAATGGTCTTCTGTGAACTGATTTGGCTTAATTAGGCCAAGTTAAGAAATCGGTTTCACTGAAGTAGGGACAGAAACTACAAACTAGGAGCAGCATTAGTGGTATTGAGATAAGTTTCAGAGTAACTGGGCCAAGGTTTCGTCTTTTTCTTTTTTTTTTATGATCTTAGTGTGATGCTGGCTGTGGAGCAGCGGCTGTCGGGTGGCTTGCTGATTCTAACCACGGGCTGAATTTGCTCATTTGCTTGCACCAGACAAAAGCTTGAATCCTTGTGTTGTATGCTTGTCCCAACAGCTGCTTGTGTGAGCATTTTTGTGCTTTGTAACGGGAAATACACTTCCAAATTCTCAAAATGCATCACTTTAAGGCAAGCCTAGCCTTGAAAGGCACCAGGCTGACTTTGATTCTAAGAGTATTGATTTTTTCCCCGTTAAATTTTTCACAGTAAGATAAATCCTATGGAGAGTCAGAGAATAAAAAAACAGAAGAAATAGACTATAGAAGCTTTTTAAAAATGCGTTGCTTCTGAACTTTCTCCTACCTGCTCCCTGGCCCTGTTTAGTTTGTTATTGCTGTCCTTCTTTCTGTATCTGTGCCTTTTTTCACAGTAGTCCTTGGCTCTGCACGGAATAAATGATACCCTCCAATCTAATTGGATGTGCTTTCGCCTTTGCATGTAAGTACGGCAGTAAGAAACATTTGAGATTTTTTACTTTAAAATTAGAGAAACATATGGGATAGGTGGATTTTTTTTTTTTTCTTTTTCTTTTCAGAGGGGGAAAGGGAGGTAATGGTTTGAGAAGCTTTTGGTTTAAAAAATGCTCACAATATTTAAAACGGCCAATTTTATATCTTTTTCACAAGAAACACATAAATTCAATTTTCCTATGATATCAATATGGAAGTCAGAAATCACTAGCCCCCCACCACACAGCACTGTGGTGTCAGCAGGTATCGCAGAGGGCCTTGGTTCTATGTAAATACAGTTAGAATGAGAAACTGCCACCTCCCACTGGTGAAAATTGAGGAAGCATTGCTTATGCTAGGCTGCCTCTGTGGCTCTTTAATTTTTTGTGATCTTGCTTGAACGGCCTGGCCCTTGTGCTGACTGCTGGCAGTGGTAACCTCTATTTTTTAAGCCAGACGGCTCCAGCCGGCCCCTCCCCACATCTCATGTTCAACCATAATGGCCAACCTCGTGCCTCTCCTGGACTTTAGATACCGGAGCAGTTGTGCCTGCAGTAGGATGTGGTGGGAAAACATTTGAGAGAATTTTTGGGAGGTCAGACCGTTTCCTGCTTCAGCTCTTTATTCATTGGTCAGGGTTCTGTCCAGAAAGGGTACCTCCTGATGGGGGCGTTTAACATAAGGCTGGGCACAGGCTACTTATCTTCCTCCTCTGCTTTGTAATCTCACCAGCAATAAAAATAGTCTTCACATCTGTGCACCTCAAACAAACGGGCTTGGTTTCCTCGCTTCCTTGAAACATCCATGTTTCACACACAGTTTGGTCAGGTTTTTCAGCTGTTGCCACCCTTGTCATACTGTCTCTGTGTGGTCCTGCCAAAACTGTCCATTCAAACCAGCTACTCTTTCATTTGCAAGCGTTTGAAACTGTCAAGTCTCCGCTTCCAGAAGTCTTGGTTCCATTAACAGAATATGTATGTATGACTCTTGAGTGGAAATTATGCCTACAAAGTCTAGATTGTATGTAGGTATGAAGGGGAATTTTTTTTTAATAAATTGAAAATTAAGCTGTGAACAGCATTAGAACTTTGTCTATTTCCGAATTTTGAAATATGCTGATATGCCTTAAAATGTAGTGGATCATTGTCATTTTGCTATTGGAAAATAACCATTGTGTTTCTAAAACTGTTGTGTAATCTACTTTCAGTGTTAATGCAAAATTGTCATCTATGTAAGCTGCATGTTAGCCTTGTCTTTTTTTTTTTTAACTAAAATAATTGTATTGATGTGAAGCATATCATTTTTTCAAGTATGAAGGTAATCACTTAGCAAACATGCTCAGTAATGTGTTGTCTGTCACGGTAGGAGCGTGTGGCCAGGTAATCTATGCATACATCACTAGTGCCAACACACAACGTGGGGGGAAATATATTTTTACCCAAACATTGTGTGCCCTTTTGTGAGTTCTTTAGTCCCTGTCGGATATGCATGTGCACCCATGCTGATCACCCGGGGGAAGGAAACGGGAGAGGCCCCGGCTTCCCTGCCTGGTCTGGTGGGCAGCACTCACTTCGCCAAGATACTGCCTGGTGTCTGTCCTGTTCTTCACATGCCATCTCTGCACTTTCTCTCCCATCCCAGGCCCTTCTGTCCTGGCCAGTGTCCCCCGGTGCCCACTGCCCAGGCCCAGTGGAGGCACCTCTTCCTGCCTGGCCCTTGCTGCCGGCCCTGCTGCACTCACACCTGTTAGGAAAGTCGTCCCTTTAACTGACTGCTGTCCTTTCCCAGTACAATAGAGACACTCGTATGTTTAAGCCTTTATGAACCACATTTGAATCTGAACTTTCTTTTTTCTCTTCTGTAGCTTCTTCTTTATGTAACCATCCTGTTGACAAGCCCTAATCTCTCCTAATGGACATAGAGCATTAGAAGAGCAGGAGCTGTCTGTTCACACGTGTTGGGGAAGAGTTACCTCATTTCCACCATCGCCTCCTTCTCAAGTCTGGGTTGACTATCTCACTGCTGTATTTGTCAATGTCTGTTTACAAGCCACTACCCGTAGTGGTTACTGAAGTGACTTATCACTACCAAAAAGCTCTACTATTTACAAGGAAATTGAGTGAAACCAACTGGGCCAACACCCAAGGCAGCCCTGTGCTGGGACCCTCTTGCTTAGCGGTCAGGTTCTTGACGCTGCTGTCCAAGAATTCACAGCAAGTGCCCTGACCTGAGGTGGTCCACACACTTGACCTCAGGTTAACTCCACACCTCTGCCCCATGAATGACATTCTGAACAACCCTATTAGGACCCTCTCAACCATAAAGCAGGCCATGAGATTTGGGCAACATTTTTCTTCCCGTTGTTTTTTTTATGGGTTGTTTTGGTGTTTGGGATGGTTTGGTTTTCTTAATTATTTGGTATTGCATGAACAGAGATGGCTGCATCTTTTTTTATTTGGTGTGTTCTATTGATACAATGTTTTTATTTTTCAGCTGACCATCTGCCTCTTGAGAGAGAGAAGTGGGCATCCATCCTTTAAATTCATGAACTTGTTGTTTTGACTTTTTCTGTTACCCACATCCCTTGTTGTTTTAGAATTCTGTTTTGAGAGAAAAAAGAAAACAAGCCAGTTCTGCTTTATGTATTGATTATTCAAACTTAGTTTTGGTATCAAAATTAAGCTAGTTTTAAGCTCAAGGAGAAATTTAAGACAGAATTCTCTTCAAATGCTCTCATCTCAGACACAAGTACACACAAAACCTTTTGCTGTCACTGAGGTTTTGACCTCCATGTTTCAAATACGTCAGTACTGTTAGAGCCTTTTCTGCCTCTGGGACTCAATTTCTATTTAAAGGGACCTTAAAATAACTTCCCGGCCCATCCCTGCCCTTGCATTTATGTGAAGCTCTGCTTTACCTTCTGTCCAGAGTTGTGTTTGGGACCGTGGGGAGTGAACAGCAAACAAGCACTTCGCCCGCCCGGACAACAGCCTCACAGCAATGGTTCTGACCCCCCGTCTTCTCAGAATCACCCAGGCGGCTTTAAGTTTCCCTTTAACTTCACTACTTGTCTGTAGTTTTTGCTTTTTTCCATCGTTTTTCAGCCCCCAGTAGGTAGGTAGATCACAAAAACGTTGTTGGCACGAGTGCATGAATGTCCCCTCTACTTAAGAATGGTGGCACAGGCTTCTGTTGGAAGGCGAGATACAGGAACAGCCCCTGCCTCTTGAATCATTTAATTCTTGGAAAGCAGTTTAGAGCAATTAGATGAGCTTGCTGTATTTTTTTACTTAGACACTGTGATTAAATGCAATAGTCAGATTCGTCTGAGCCATTAAATGATCAGATTATGAGTAAAGAGCCATCCCCTCAATGATAGAAATCTGCTAGTGGCCAGTAGTTGAAGGGGGTGGATGGGTGGGTACTCACTCATTTAATGCTGGAACATGACAAATTAACACATCAATTATATAGTAAACTATTGCCTGTGAAACTACTGTTGTCACTAAGTAAAAAACTTTACATTTTTAAATTCCTTATTTTTAATATTTTAATATCAACTTTACCCATCATTTAAAAAACAAATTCTGCATCCAGTGGTAGACATTTATTTTTTTATTATTTTTTTAAATATATTTTATTGACTTTGTACAGAGAGGAAGGGAGAGATGGAGAGTTAGAAACATCGATGAGAGAGAGTCATCGATCAGCTGCCTCTTGCACACCCCCTACTGGGGATATTCCCGCAACCAAGGTACATGCCCTTGACCGGAATCGAACCCGGGACCCTTCAGTCCCCAAGCCGACGCTCTATCCATTGAGCCAAACCGGTCTCGGCCCAGTGGTAGACATTTATTGACCAATATTTAAAAATCAAATTAGGAAGGATTATTTTAAGTAGGGAAATATGTAATCTATTGTTGCTATTCTTTTTCCCCCCTTTTTAGTTCTCAGATTAAAGAAAGTGTAATAGTAATCATCTTAATGGAGGGATTGGGGAACAAGCTATTCTAAGTAGATTAGCTTCTGCTCAGTTACCAAGGAAAAGCTGATCACGGACACGCACGACAGGTCAGATGCCTGCCATCTCTCCCAGAAGCTCACCACCACCACCGTTTTTACTCTGGCAGGGTGCCTTTTCTCAGTGCTGATAACGCTGGTAGGTTCTCAGGTTCTGGCTATGAAACCATCGCAGAGCTAATGATCTTCAGTAATAAAAATTCACTTCCATGGTAGACTCAAAAAGTAAAGCAAGAATTGATCCCCAAAGCCTATATATTGCATTGATAACAAGCTATTTTCCACTCAATCTTTAAAAATATTACTTGGTTTCAAATACAGGCAGTGCTTTATTGCCCCAGGTGTGGCCTAGATGGTCTGCCGGAGGCTGCCACAGCTCGGGTGGAGAGATTGATTTCCTGAATCAGTATGTGCTGAAGTGGGGCAGATAAAATTAGGTCATCTTTCTAATATGCGTGGCCAAACTTTTCCCCATCAACTATACCTTTAAATGAAACGTCCTTCATAGTTACTTTAGTTTTATTTTTGCCTGTCGTTGGCCCAGCTTATGGATAAAAAAGTTCTAATATCTGAAAAAACTAAAGGCATAACTTTCACTGTATTCAAATGACATTTTTACACAAAACCTTTTGCTTGGCAGATGACTATCTTTCTACCCTGGAGATTGGCACTGATGGCAATGCCGCTCACTTTGAATATCCTGTACTTGAATTCTGAAGGCCCTGGTGTTTAGTTCTTGTGATGGACCCCATCTGGCTCTCAGAACAATCTCTAGCAGGCAACTGGCTCCCCCACGGCGGTGAGGGGTGAGGATATTTTCATTGTGAGTCTAGGTACCCACTCACCTCTCTCTCCAACTTGACTATTCTGACAAGTAGCTATATACAAGTGAGTTCTTTTGGTTGTGAGACATTCAGATCTGGCTCAAATGATTTTACTTCTGGCTCCCAGTCAGTTACGCACTCAGTGCTGTGAGTTGAATGACATTTCAGTTCACTGTGGAAACTTCTCTAAATTATGACATCTTGATAGATCAGAGGAAGCAGAGGCTATTATATAACAAAGTTGGTCCCTGTCCCCCAAGTCAAGTGTGTATGGGGGAGGGTGCAGAATAGCATTCTATAGAGCGCTTGGCCAACCACATTCTCCGTACAATGCTTTTAGACCTCTCCTTGCCCTTACCCCACCCATCCACCCACCTTTTCCCCACCCTCCCTCTTTCCAAATACTTCTTTATTCTATATTCAGCATTAGGCCTACATCAGGTGCTGTCTTTCTGTATACCTCATGAGCAAACCTCTGGAGTAAAAAGGTAAGCCCTTTGAATGCTAAATTGCTGGATGGATCATATTCTGAAAAGCAAAAGCTCACCACCACCAATTGCTTTTCAGTAGTTGCTTGCTTAAGGTTGCCCTTTATTTTGCAGTGTCCTCTTGCCCAACTAAGCATTTCTGAGAAGTGAGAAGCCAGTTCACTATGCTATTCTTTGCCCCCCCCCCCCCGCCCCCGTTGTGTAACACAGAGGTCAACAATTCTGGCATATTATCTGCTCTAAAAGGTTGTACTTTAAGAGTTAAGAGAAAGAGAGGGGTTCTTCCCATTTCATCCTTAACTCAGAAGTCCCTGGGAACTAAAGAACTAGAGTTGTGATAAAGTGATTCTTCTGACAAAGTCATTCTTAGTTACCTCTTATTACACCTTCTCAATAACCAAGAGAAGTCAAATAGTTATGTCTGTCCTACATGTGGACCGCACATATTACATCATAAAAACCACTAAACTCAGTATCATGAGGGAAGCTTTCTTTCATTTTAAGTCCTTACTGCAAGCTGTACTACAAAAACCTGTACTCTTTTGTCATTTCTGACATAAGGGTTGGTCACAGCCAACTCAAAAGGAGGGCATCAAGGTATTAATTTGTAAAACTGCTTTGCTTGGTTTTTTTTTTTGGTAAGAGACATATCTAGCCAGCCACCTGTCTCATACCAACACAGATTTTGCTTATTTTCCCTCAGTCCCACGTGTACAGTGACATGAATTTGTGACTGCAATTGATGTTGAATATTGCCTAGTAACGAGATGAGTATTCAACTACTCATTCCGGGTACTGTAAACCAAACTCAATTTCCCCCAAAAATGTAAGATGTTTCCTTTTCCTGGAAGCACCATCTAGTGGCCAAATCTCAACACAATAACAGGTGTAGGAGACACTGAATTAACACAGTTTAAAGGCTAATTTCA